ACTATGCATATCAAGCAACAATGATTATATCGGGGTAAAACTTTGCGAGAATAATACGTTTAAAGTAATCCACCTTGTGACCAAAAATTGTCTAAATCGAACCAAAACTGTTCAAGCCCCTAAGTACTAAATATGTGGACCCCAGTGCCTATAGTTGACCTTGTACCGAAAATATCAGTCAATCCACAAAGAAATCTCAAACGAGTATACCATTTGACTTTGCGAGAGTATAAAATGTTCAGTTACATCCGAACTTAGCCCTTCCTTACTTGTTTTTATTAAAATTGTTTCCCTTTCGATACTAACAGCGGTATTTGTGAATCTTGATGTCACGAATTTCGTTTAGCTCTGTATTTATCTCGGGGTAAGAAAGAGATAGCCATCTACTGTTACACTCAAAATAACTGCCAAGCGCGAGGTCAGTGATTGTTTTAAATAATCAATCTATCGACGTAAAAAGTTATAAAAAGTAAAGACTTATTTCATAGATCTCATTTTTCAGGTATTCTTATTGACTTATTTAATGATCTTATAAACATGTAATAGCTTTGATAAATTTTACAATACCTTTTGTTTTAATTGTTTTAGGTTAGAAAGAATGCCACGACTATGTAAAAATACACCGAATGTTTTCTGCAAAATTCATACATATGCACAAGTATGTAGTGGCAAAAAGATGACACCTTCCATTGTTCTGGATTTGAAATAGACGAAAGATATAAAAGCTAGGTCCCAAACATATGTTGCAAAACCAGTGCAAAAGCTCTGACAAGTTGGTTCAAAGGAACTAAAGTATCCTTACGATTTGCATGACATATGTACACATAGCCAACAAAGTCTGCGTTCACCCGACACTATTTTTTAAGTGAAGTAAAAACACAATGTAAATAGGTAATTCAGTTCAAATTTGCTACATGTATTTCTTCTTTATATTTTTATGTTCAAAATGCAAAAACAAAAATTTATATTCCTATTTTCATTTTTGTGATAACGGGATTTTAGTGTAAGGAGAAGTAAACATAGGCACCATTAAGTCTGCGTTTAGCTTTAAAATTAGTTACAAAAGTATTAAAAATTATAAAGAAAAATTAAATTCAATATTTTGTTGGATAGCCGCGTTGTTTTAAAACCTCACTCAATCGATTTGGCATTGATCTTACCAACTTATCTGTTTCCTCAGCTGTATTCTGGGATCATTCTTCTTTCATAACACTTCGCAAAGCCTCTTTACTTGTTATTGTATGCTGACGAATTCTTTTTTACAACAGATCCCATAGATGCTCAATAGGATTGAGGTCAGGTGATTGAGGGGCGTTTAAGTTGTCTAGGAGCATTGTACAAGAGCCAAAGTCTAACTATTTTCGCGGTATGCTTCGGGTCATTATCTTGTTGGAACCAAAACGTCGAAGATAATCCAAGATTCTCTGCACTTTGTTTTCTTAAAATTGTTTTTTTAAGTGTTCAAATAACCCCATTTATGCATTGTGGATAAATTCAAGCTGACCCACACCACCAGCCGCCATGCAACCCCACACCATAATTCCACCACCTCCGTGTTTAACTGTACCAAAAAGATTTTGCTTTTCAAGGGCAGTTCCTGATTTGCGCCACACAATTTGTCGACCTTTTATGCCAAAAATGCAAAATTTACTTTCATCGAAAATATTACTTGTCTCCCGAATTCCGGCCACTTATTTATATAATTATGAGCAAATTCAATGCGCTTTCGACTGTTTACAAGTGAAATATATGCTTTCTTTCGAGCAACTCTACCATGATATCCAGCTTTTCGTAAAATTTTGCTAGCAGTTTCGGTACAAATTGTTTTTTTAATGGTTATATTTACGTTTTCAATAATCTTTGTGGACGTAATTTCAGGGTTAACTTTCACTATATTTATTATTTTCCGATCTTCCCGGGCTGATAATATTTTCGGACGGCCAGATCGCGGTTTTCACGTTTAAATTACGGTTTTTTTTTAAACTGTTTACGACACGCTGGACAGAAAAATACGTTCTTCCAATAGTTTGCCCAATTTTTCTGAAACTTTCGCCATCTTTCCACAACTTAATGATAATTCTTACCTTCATTGAACCAACATCGCCATACCTACAGTGGAAAAATGTTATATTACAGTTTACAGTTTTTTATTGTTGTGTTTTTTGTTCAAATCATTATTTACTAGATATCTATGCGCATTAAGATAGACTTAAACACTACTATGTATTAACTAATTTGAATAGGATGTATTCTTTGTCCACTTTAAAATTATTAGAGAAATATCCGAAGTTCCAACAAATTAAAACCACCGACTGTTCGAGATACCAAATTTCTTTGGGTATGTTTGCTCTGAAAATGTAGCACACTTTTTTAAAATTAATTATATGTATTTATGTATATTATTATCTTCTTTTGTTTAAAGTAATTTTATTAATTTTTATTCTATTATTTATGTTCAACGCCATTAAATCTTAAGTATCTTTCAATACTATTTATAATCGATTTCCTATAAACACCGAACAATATAAAGGACATACGAAGAAAATGAAACAATAGTTGTCAAATATTTGAAAGTAAAATATATTTTGATCAAATCATGATTCAATTAACCTTATATAATTAAATAATGGAATAATCCAAAAAAAAAAAATCTAGTTAGCAGATGGGTCGACTTCCCGTGTATTCGATTTACAGCGAGTGCACTGTTTAAAGGCATTAGAGGTGCCATTGAAATTTGTTATCAGGCTATCTTGCTCTAAAATACTTTAATATATGTTTATAACTTAAAGTTTTAATGCATATGAGATTTATAATATAAATGCGTAGGGTCCAATAATGGAACTGATCCCCATTATGATGCACGTATAGGTGAGAGGCGTGCCTCCGGAAATCAATTTCTCCTATCTCAATTCGTTTCAGATGTTACAAATAACCGTTAGGAGAACAATACTGCTGCGAAGTTATTTTATATACATATTTGTATATATAAAAAATGGGAATACTGTGCATATACAAGTATGTAATAATCATAATTGCTTCCTTAATTCTACTTCCGCGTCAAGTGCATTGTGACGCATGGAGAGCACACAAAAAAAGCTCTGAAACCATTCAATCGCTACTGAAAGCAAAATTAATTAATTTGAAAGTGAAACAAAACCTATGCGAGTTCATTGTATTTATTTAGTGAATTTTAAAATTATATCCTTTCCGAGCCAAACTTCAATATTTACATGCGCGCACAAATTTTATATTTTTCTCTCTTTTAAAACAGATTTTCAGAGTTTTCACTATGAAAAAAAGATTGCGTTGGCATGGACTTATTGGCACAGGAGCTCCGTGAAAATGTATTTATTTGACAGTCCGGGTCAAATTTGATCATATGCTATATCAATTCCTAAATATAGATAGCTGTATGTATGTATGTAGATAAGAGTGAAAATCTTTAAATTTCAACCAGACAACATGTCGAGGCTTCACAAGTAATGTAATGCTTTATTATGTAATTTTTAGTGTTTATCTGCTAATACTAAATTAGCTGCAACTTAAAAAAGAGAGAGACGGTTGGTATTGCAGATGGGCGTAATTGGACCACTGTCACGCCCACAAAACGCCATTGATCAGAAACAAGTTATATGGTATACCACCTTAGGGAGGGGAATCTGCAGTTTAAATTTTAAGGTAGGCGTGGTTCCGCTCTTTAATAGGTTTAATGTCCATATCTCCTAAACCGCTAAAGCTATAATAACGAACGTGAAATCGGGTGACAACCCCGCCCACTCCCCATATAACGGTACTGTTAAAAACTACCAAAAGCGCAAAAAATCAAGCACTTAACAGGCCAGAGACATTCAATTTTATCCTTGGCATGATATACGATGACTTTATAGGTACAGCGTTCGAAATTAGACAGTGGGCGGGACACCTCCCTCTTTTAGTTGGGCACTTTTTTCAACCAAATTCGGTAAATAACATTAACACCATTTAAAATTCCATCTGATTCTTTCACTTTCCACTATGCAAATCAAGCAACAATGATTATATCGGCGTAAAACTTTGCGTGAATAAGGCGTTTAAAGTATGCCACCTTGTGACCAAAAATTGTCTAAATCAAACCAAACATCAAACCTACATAATATAAAGATTTTTAAACTTCCGGGTGATTTTATACCGCATATATTGGCCAATATCTGAGTTACCTCAATGAAAATGAGAGAGCGGGTTTTACTCATAACAAAGTATCTTTGTGCCTAAAATGGATCAAACTCCATTTGATTGGTGATGGTATGAGAGGTACCTTAATGAAACAGCGAGAGCATTTTATTACTCTGTGGCATGCTACTAGTATGTGGTATTGGCAAAAATTTAAAAAATCGAGTTAATACTACCCTCAACTTCCATATACTACTTATTGATTTTCGTTATCCTCACCAGTTTTATGCCGAATATGTCGGTCAGTGAGCATTAATATATTTTATCTCAAACAAGTATACCATTTGACTTTGCGGGAGTATAAAATGTTTGGTTATATCCGAACTTAGCTCTTCCTTACTTGTTATTCTTTGTTTTGTTTTGATTTGCAAACCGTTGAGTTTGTTACTACGTGCCGGTTGTCGTGCATGATTCAATTATAATATATATATATGTATATAAGTATAAATTTCTATATGTATGCGTATAGAATATAAATATGAAGTACCCAGTAGTAAAAACGATAGTTCACGAATCACATCCAAAGAACAATTGAAGATATATTTTTTAATATTTAACATAAAGAAAATGCACCTGTTGCTGAACGAGAATTGTGGAAATACCGAACAGAACCTTCGACGTCGCACTTAAATGAATACGAAGTGTTTTATTGTTCCTCACGAAGAAATATTTTTGACAAATTTTATGAAACAAAATATATGAATGTTGCCGAATTCAAATAAATAAAATAAAATAAAATTAGTTTTGAAATAATAATAGTGTATAAAATTCACCAATACAAATACACACAGTTTTTTACTATACCTTTTATTTCTAAATGAGGCACTCCAGATTTATGAAGAATCTTAAAACCACATATTACACCATTTTGAAAACATTAAAAATAATAATAACATTTCTGTTATTGATGGAATTAAGGAAGTTGCATTCAATCATTATTATATGGTATACAAATATGAAATCGTAAAATGATTTGAATGATATCCAAGTATCTTAATCTTCGCTGTATTTCATATTAGTTTATGGTAGTTGCCTTAGATGGAGGCCCATTGAAGCGCTTACAATACAAAGAAAAAAACCAATCTGCAGTTAAATGCATTTTTTCTATTTATATTTTTATGTGTATATATGTATATGCATAGATGGGCGTATGTACATATGTATGCTTGCCTAAAGAACTTTGCACTGTCATTACTTAAAAGAAACTCCCAATAATTATGCAGACACCAATCGATTGGATGCACTCCGACACTTTCGATTAAAAAGAAATTTTAAAACTGTCAACGGTCACATATTAAATGTACATATAAAAAGAATACATTTTGCATCCAATTTCAAAACAATGGAATATTCGTAAGACCAATACTAGTGAGAAAAGCACTAAACAATACTACAGATTATTTTACTGCATAGATTACAAATTTTGATTCAAATTAAAGTTTCTTCACTAATAATAGCATAAATATTACTTGTTCGCGAATTGTTAATAACATTTCTTACTTCTAAATACATTATTTAATGCGACATTCTTATTATGGAACTTAATATTTATTTAATTATTAAACTATCAAAACTATCAAAATTCTAATATTAAAAATATCCTAATAATGCATTATGCATACCATGATTATTTCCAAACTTGTAGATTTTTACAGTTACCTAATTATCACGCTTAATAAATATTATTATATATTTACATTCGTTATATAAGTGTAAACTCTATGTTGAATAAAATAAAAACAAATTAAGCAAATGAAAGAAATTCAAGCCTAGACATTTGATCATAATGTTATTGAATAGTTAGTTCTTTGACTGTAAACTTTACCTATCTAGCTACTTATACGCTTATAATAGTATCCATGGATTAATCATTACAATTCGTAAATATTAGTTACTCATTTGCAATCCTCCGCTACTCCGGCTACCCGTAGATGTTGATGTACTTAATCCAAGTTGTAAAACTAATTCATCGTAGTCTTCTAAGGATGTTTCAAATTCCTCTAATTGTTCTACCGCTACATCCGTTTGAGTTTCGTTCAGTCCAAGAAGTGGTGGTGCGTGATAACAATCACGGTAAAACTTCGCCAAATCATTGACATGTGAATTTGGCAACGCAAAAGGAAAATTTAATTCTTTAAGAAGGTTATCATCTTCGGGCCGATTTCGCATTGTGTTATTGCGGGAAGAGGTAGGGGCGGGAATGAGCAGACTTTTCATAGATGACTGCGAGAGTGTTGAATTATCGGCAGACGACTTCGCTTGTGTGCCACTTTGCTCATTCTCTAAACTCTTAAATGCAATAACGTTGTTGTTATTATTTGCTTGTGTGCTATTGTTAGTTTTATTTTCAATCCCACCGTTGTTATTTTGAACAGTCTGTTCTTGTCCATTACAAGAAATAGGTGCAGAATTGCTACCATCGCTTCTTTTATTTAAGGACTCTACCGAACCAACAGAACCTCCGCTTTCCTGTCGTTGGCGACGCAATAACCATTCGAAAGGAGGAGTTTCTGGCAAAATATAGTCTTTCTCAGTCCACTGTCGCAATTTACATATATCGGTAAAAGCTCCTGGTCGCAGAGGCTTCTCAATATCAATTATTTTCTTTTCGCCATTAACACCTATGCCCCTTTTCAGTCCTGTAATAGACAAATTTTGAGTGGGAGAAGAATCGCCACGTCGGAAATGGTCAGATTTTAGCATAATTTGATTAGATTCTCCATTGTGCGCCTCTGAGGTGGTAGGGGTAATAGTCATTTTTGTTCGATAAGAAACGGACATACTTAACATACCAACTATAGTATTTAGTTGGCCGATTTTAACATTTTTATGGCCCTCACCCAAAGTATGCAACTGTGGCCGATCCACGTAAATACGATAGTAAATTCCATATGCTTCTGGGCATTGGCGCCGTGACAATTTATAACCAGGGGTGGCTCGTGTCAAAGAGATTAGTGACTTTAGTAGAATACCCATACGATTATAAATGGCATGTGCCGCTTTTAATGTCTGCTGTTCTGACATAGGTGCACCTGTACCATTCACAACAACGCCTTTTACGTTTTCAACGTTTTTTATGAGAACTTCACATATGTCATCTTTACAATTTTTGTGACATCCAGGTAATTGAATGTCCAATGACCATACTTCTAATACCATTTGATCTCCCTCTACCGTGCGCAACGAAATTTCTACACACAAAGGCAATCGCTTTAATATACTTTGGCCGGGTTCCAACGATAATGCACGCTTTGTCTCGGCATATATATCAGGATGGTCTTGAATAACTATGTTAAACCAATCACTACCAGTAGCCAAAGGATTGCAAGGCGTCTGTATCTTCTCACCTAAGCGCGACTGCACTACAACTTGAGTAGACTTCAGCGCTAAAAATTTTATAAACTTCTCCACATCCTTTTCGGCAGCATTTAAATTGACACGTTGACCAGACATCTTTTTCTTTCGCATACACCTCAAATGTTTTCGATAGTGGGCGTGTTTTTTTTTCCAATTTCCACCAAAACTGAAATTTAGTTTTATGTGGACTCTGTTATTAACACAGTACAAAGTACGTTGTTTATTAACGTTTTTCTTTTTACCACAATACTACAATTATTTAGCTATCAGATATTTAGTTTGTTCAAGATATTTTCTATTGAATATTTTCATTTGTTTTGAGGTTCATTCGTAGCAATTGCGTTTTTTACTTTAATAAACACAAAATTGCATTTGCACTTCTAAACCTCCTTAAAATGTTACATATTATTTTTATAAATATTAATCCACTTCACATTGCTTCTCAGGGTCAATTTAAAAACATTTTGTTTTACAGACATCTCTTTATTTTAAATGTGACAATTTTCACAACATCTATTTTCAATCAAACACGTAAACGATGTGAATGCACGACATCATATTTACGAGCGCAGAAACATTCGGCAAAAGTATTTTAAAACGGACAGATGGCAATAGTGTTACCGCTGCTGAGCCTCAAAGAAAACTTTATGAATCGATTGTTTTCATCTTAATCCTATTCATGAAATTCAATAATACAATATTGACATAGTTTAGGAAATTATGAATTCGATATCATCTAGGCATATATTTCAACATCAATTGATCTGGAACTTTGAGTTTCTAATTATTAACTAATAGAATGTGGGTATATAGGACAATAAGAACTATAGTGATAGAATTTGAGATTACAACCGTTAAGCTTTACTTGTTTTGAGTTTACTACTGGCAAATATGATGTCATAAAGCAGAAGAACTTGTAAGTAAAACAATAAAACGGTCGAAGTGAACAGTTGTGTTCATTTATGATTTATAGCTTTTGTACAAAAATACCGAAATATTTAAATAAAATTTATTTTTTAATGAGTTTAATTGTTTGTGTTTTCGTTTAAAATTTACATGCAAATGTGACAGTTTTTCTAGATCGCTTCTTTTATCTGATATCTGATTGTTGGACTCATGTCAGAATTTATATTTTTATATGGAATGGGTAACTCTGAACCTCAGTACTCCACTACCAGAGAACGTATATATGATATACGTTCTCTGTTTGAAGAAGAAAGAAAAACAGATGAATGCCAGAAAAATAGAGCAAAGAAGAAAAAAATTTTAAAATTTAACAACGGCGGTTGTTTAAAGACTAGCATCAATATTTACAAAGGAAAAATATTTAATCCATGAGTGATAAAAAGCGCAAATTCGGAAATTTCTTATCAACAGTTTATACCTTGTCGAAAAAATAATAATTTGAATTCTTTGCTTACAATCACTATTCGTTTCGTTTTGACATAGCTTTTCGCAATTTCGTATTCTATTATTTTTAATTAATAAGTTTTTGATCCATACCAAGTTCCTATATAACTCTGGATCAAAAAAAAAAAAAATCGTATATACAATGTATAGCTGCAGATGTCGCAAAAAATAATTTTAATAAATTTACCAGTGAGATTGTTGTCATAGCATTGTTAAAAATATTGGTTTTATTGATTTTCGGAAATAAAAATTAAATTGAATTGGGGAATATTTTGAATTAAAAACGCAAAATGTTTGGTGGCTTTCGGTGCACGGTCCCGGCTGATGCCGATCGTAAAGTAGATACATCCAATAACCTTTTTATAGAGACAGTAATGGAGCAGGAGCGCCGTGTAAAGGATTTAAAGGCTCAGGAAATACAAATGACAGCCGAGAACCCACGCATACGCGCTCAGCAAGAAACGACAGATATTTCAATAGAACTAAAAGCACAAAAAGTTGAAGATTTCCTAGATAAAAAACGACGACAACAACTTCGTCAAAATAACTTAGATCTGCGGCAGTTAGAAAAACAGTTGAAAGCAGCATTTATCTCAAAACAACTTGCAGAGCAGAAGGTCGCAACCGACAAACTGAAGCTGGAGCAAATGAAAAAGAAACGTTTGGAGGACGTTGAGTTTGATGCGGAGCAAAAGCGTTGCAAAGAGGCACTAGTGGAAATAGAAAAAAAAGAATTAAAAAAGAAACAAGAATTCCGCAACATTCTCCTAGGTCAAATGGAGGAATCCCAAGAACGACGAAAAATGGAGTATACTGAAGTTTTAAAAGATCGGGATGAGATGCAAAAACTATTACAAAAGTACAAAGCAGACCACGAAGCTGAGTTATTAGAAATTGAGCGAAGAAAGGAAAATGCCAAAAAGGAAATGGACGAGTTCAAAAGACTACAAGACGCTCTTAAATTAGAAAATATGGCTCAAAAGATGGATGAAGTGGAACGATTCCAGGCGATGATGAAGGAACGGGAAGAGAAGAATTTGCAAACCAAATTAGAAAGAGAAGCTGAAACCCAAAGGAGGGCAGAATTAAGTGATAGAATTGGACAACAGTTGTATAATGTTGAAGTATGTATTTAACTAATTGTATTTCTTCAATGGAGTTTGTTTTTAATAAGATATATATATTTTTAATTTTATAGAGCGAAAAACGAAAACGTGAAAATCTTTTGTTGGATTTATTGGTTGAGGAACGAAATACAAATGAAGACATAAGATATAAACAAAATCTAGAAAAGCAATGGAATGATCGCTTACAAATGCGTAGGGAGTTTGAGCGCTATCGTGCTGAACGAGATCGTCGTAAACTTGAGCAAGAGAAAAATGAGGATGCTATATTCCTTGCTGATATGCGAAAACAGTTGGCAGAACGCGATAAGTTAGATCAATTGGCGGATGAAAAACGCCGTCAAAAAATAAGAGAACATGGTCGGGCAATACAGGAAATGATTGAGTTGCGCCGACGACAGCGCGCCATTGATGCTGCTGAAGAGATTAAGTGGCATGATTATTTATTAAGTGAAGAACGGAAACAGTATGTACATAATATAGAAGTTATTAGTTTATTAAGATTTATTTTTATATCGTAGATTGAAAATGGTTGAAGACGAACGCCTACAAATGCTGAAAAGTGCTCCAGTCGATGTGTTGCGGTACCTTCCTTCTGGTGTGTTAAAGGAAACAGATCGAAAAATTCTTGGTCTTCCCAATCAGGGAAAAAAAGCCTGATTTATCCGCATTAGTGTTCAAATATTGTACCTGTTTTGGTTTCAAATGAAATTAATTTATACATTCTATTTCATTAAATTCTTTTCTACATATCAATTAGAGAACTGCGTGAATGCCTAGTATTCTTACTCAAAGTATACTTGCTTCAAAATCGCTTTGGGTGGCCACTCATATTCAGAAACATGTACAGCTGTGTTCACAAAAATAGCAGTGCGAGAAATGCAATCAAGTAATGTTTTCAAGTTCCGTTACGATTATTCCAACGTCTACGCATTATTGTCGTAGAATGGAATGTGTATAAGGAAGAAACGAAAAAATCCCGTTAGATTTGCGAGATTTAAGCAATGAACAACTCTTTTTGCTAGAAGCACTAGTCTTTGGCTGTTCATTAAAATAGCAGTGCGTATCTTGATAAGGCAAAAAAATTTTGTGAAGACGTTTAATTGATAAAAAGTAAGTGGTTTTGTGTTAGTGACTATTATTAACATTAGAAAACACTAAAATAAATTTATATTTTTTAACTAAGTGGGCAGGGGCAAACATTGTACTCCTGAAAAAAGAAATATTATAGTGCAACTAAGAAACGTGTGAAAAACATATAACGACATCCAAGAAATATGTGGATGTTCTGCTAAAATGATTCATAATGCTTTAAACTTTCAAGAAATGCCCGAAAATCGTGGTATCCAACGTAAAACCACACCTCATAAGAACCGATCCATTGTGCTATATAGCAGGGCGCAGCCTTTTGCATCTTCCAGCAAGATAAAAAATGACTTAAGCTTGAATGTTAGTGGCGTTACTATTCGGCGACGTCTTAAAGAACAAAAGCTCAAAGCGTGCCATCCACGAAAAGTTCCACTGTTCGCCACCAGACATGCGAAATATTTTATGGAGTGACGAAAGTAAAATTGTGTTATTTGGTGGAAAGGGCTCCAGACAATATGTCAGACGTCCACCTAACACAGAGTACGATCCTAGGTACACTTTGAAGACAGTTAAACACGACGGATTGAGTATTATGGTATGGGCATGTTTTTCTTACAGTGGAGTGGGCCCTATATTCATGATTGATGGGATTATTATTATGCCAATTGGGAAATGCCACTAAAATGGACGTTTTAACAAGATAACGACCCCAAACATACAAGCAAACTGGACTTGGTGGATTCTATGCCTCGCAGTTGCCAGGCCATAATAAAAAATAATGGGTACACGACTAAGTACTAACCCAAGCAAACAAATTAAAATAATTTTTTGGACTTCAACAATGTTTTTTTTCAACTATTTCCACTGTTTTCATTACTCACTGCTATTTTTATGAACAGCTGTGAACAGCACTTTTTTGTTTAAATTAATAATTTAAAAAAAATTAACAACATTTTGAATAATAAATTGATGTGTTTTTGTTTAAAATAATCACAAAGTTAAAACAAAATTAAATTTGTGAACATTCATTTACTTTTTGATATATAAAATTAAGTTTAAAGTTGTAGCTCATGAGCACTGCTATTTTTATGAACACAGCTGTATATTGTGCAAATATCTACTCCTAGAAATATGTTACTGTTGCGTAATACTGCGATTACATGAGACTCTTTTGTCGCTCATTATCGGTGAACTCTCCTTTGGTGTCGCTGTGTGCGTTCACACGAGCAAAAAGAGTCCAGCAACTCGAATCGAGTTTTTCTGTCATTCCTTTTCATAAAATTTTCAAAATGCTTGTGCGGTTCAGCCAGAGAGCGTAAATTTATGTTAGTTATATTAGCTGTATTCGATTCGCCAAGCGTTACTCTCCAATAAACTTTGCTCAAACAAATGGGCTGCGCTTGTGGTGCAAACTGCGCTAAAATGTCTTCTGAGGCATGAGCAATAGTGTTATGATTCTTTCTTACTGGATAAATTATTTTTTCGCGTTAAAAACCCTTGCTGTAACCATTTATTTTGGTTTTCTATAAATTATTATAATTGATTTTAAGTCTTATGTTTTAAAAATACACGAAACATAAGAAATTTGTAATTTCATTTGTCATTTAAACCATTCACAATAGTAAAAGTGAGCTAAAATATGCAAAACAAAACTTGGCAGTATTGAAGATAGAACCAGAGAACGTTAATTCATTTATGTTCTCTGGTTATAACACTTTAATGAGGTATCCGCATACTGAACTCGATAACTTTGTTGCTTCACATGTAAATTTTTTGACAAGAGAGCAGAAAAATAACCAATCAAAGATAGTTTAATATAATAAGAATTTGGGAAATATGTGAAATCAAAGAGCAGATAGATAGATATAAATTGAGGTTTGCGACCTAAGGTCTATTGTGCCCTTACCTCCCTTATGTCACAACGACTCACATAGCCTAAGCACACTTCAGTATAGTCTTTCAGTATCTGTTGGATGATAATCAAAGAGCAACAACAATCGATAAGTTTCTAAGAATCAGCAACAAACTTTTTTCTTTATAAACGCAGCCTTACGTAAAACAAAATGTCAAAATTTTTTTCAATTATGACTTATTTAGTATGAAACGGCAACACTGATTGGGTATTCATTAAGCAAAATAATTCAATTGCACGTGTGCTTCTAATTATTGTGGCTTTTTTTTTATTAATATTAAAATATTTACTGATTCAATATATTGCAATGCCTCCAGTTCGAAAAAATAAATCCGATAGTTCTAGTAGAACTGAGAAGCAGTCTTTGGAGTCGAGTGGCGTAATTTCAGGACAAGTAAGTATTAATGTTGACATATTAGGAACAACCTTTTCATGATTTCTTTAGATTGCGAACTTATAACCATACACTCATAAATTATAATAATTAACGGCATCTTAAACTGTTTTGTTAATTACAGTTGGATAAAAGGTTGAAGCAACAGCAAAAAAAAATTAATGATAAACGAGGGATCGTATTTATTAAGCACTTACCACATGGATTTTTCGAAGAACAATTGAAGAATTATTTTGAGCAATTTGGTAAAGTGACACGCTTACGACTTGGCCGCTCGCGCCGTACTGGTGGCAGCAAAGGCTATGCATTTGTTGAATTTGAGTATCCGGAAGTGGCTGAGGTGGCGGCTGAGACAATGGATAATTATCTCATGTTTAAAAAAGTTGTTAAGGCTGCGTATATTCCTCCAGAGAAACAACTTTATAATTATTTCAAGACTTCATTACGAAGAGTAAAAAATAAGGTAAGCAATTTTAAATATGGCTGGAATGGAATATGTTTTTTATATAGTATCTGTTATTAGGCTGGAAAAGAAATTTATGTATCTCACAAGACGGCAGCAGTACAACGAAAAGTTAGGCAAATGAACAATTGGTCAAACAAAAGTTATCAGAAACGTGCCATAAAAAAATTGGAAAAAGTAGAAAAACTAAATCAGAAATATGCTCATTTAGGTATTGACTTTTCGAAAGTGCTCGTTGAACCCAATAAAATAGAGCACAAAACTAATAAAAAAACAAACTCTGAAGAAGTGGGCGATGCAAATACCAACAAGGTAGCTAGTGAAAATAAATTAAAAAGAGGCAGTGTGGATAAAAGCAGAAATTCAAAGACACTTAATAAAAGTATAGAACTCCAGGACCTATTAGGTAATACATTAAATGATGATTCCGCAGATGAGGACTATGTTGTGCAGTCGCAAAGTGATGAAGAAAGTCCAGACCTTAATGGCAGTATAATTGATAGCGAAGAGTCTCATTCAAGCACCGATGAGGAGACATATAGTTTCGCTATGAGTTCCGACAACGAAGAAAGTGATACAGTGAATCACTTAGGAAAAAAACCTGAGCAAAGGGGTATCCGCTTTGTGAAGTCTGCCAAAGCGGCGAAAGTGGATCATTTCGAAAAAGTAATTAAGCGAAAACCACAGACCGGTGGTATACAGAAGGCTAAGCAAATAGTTAAACCCCCAGCTATAAAGAAGACGTCAAAGAGTATATTACAATTAACGGCTGCGAAGGAAATGGCAAAAGCTGTGCCAACTAAGAAAGGAAAATTGGCGGTGTTAAAAACTAAATCGTTGCAAAAGATTAGGAAGTAGATTGTTTTTATCGTGAATATTATTATTATTTTTTAAATTTTCATAAATATTACAAAGTAATACATATATAAAAAATATTTAAAACTCTATGTAATCAGTTGGTTATTTATTTTTGGGAACACATCAGAATTTGGAGACTCCAGTTTAAGCCGCTTCCATTTCATACGTCTGTTTTGAAACCATACTTTAACCTTAAATTAAGATTATTAAATAATTTTTTATAAAGTTTAATTCATTCGACATCTCCACCTGTCGTTCTGTTAAATCTAAGGCAACCGCTATTTCATATCTTCTAAGCCGTGTTAAATAATTTGAATGCGCAAATTCGGCTTCCAACTCCCTGATTTGCTCTTTAGTAAATGCAGTTCTCTCTTTACGAGGTATGCTAAAACTAACTGAAACTTCGTGCGGTATGGTATCTAAAATTAGAAAAAGGAGAATTGTAGATATATTATATGTACGTATGTGCAAATTTTAATATAACTATCTATTTGAACGATATTGTTTCAAATATATTTTATAAATACGAAAGCTTCTTGATAAAACAGTGAAGGGACAACTTCGAATCAATATGATCAGATGAATCAGAGATATCTATATATACTTTGCTCAGTACAGTAAATTGTTCAAACTTTCCGGTATTAGCTAAGCTTAAGTAATGAATCAACTTGCTGCGTGGACACATAACCGGCCTTAATAAACTATCTAAACCAAATATGGACAAACGACTTAATACCGACCACTTTGGCGAAATTACATACATATATATGTATGTACATGATCTACTAATAATAAGGAAATTAAATGAGCATCTTTTTCAGACGGATGTTATTCTGATTTATTTTGTATTAAATCGGTGAGCATGCAAGGTATCTTAAAAAAATTAAGTGAACAACTTATTTTCGACATGAAGTATTCGAAGCTAAGAACTGGTAAGATCGATAATATAATAATATTCGTCCTTCTGATTGACATAGATAAGGGTTAATGAGTCAGATACAGCTGCGGTCACCTAATTAGCAACGCTGCTATTTGAATCATGTTACCATTTATAAGTCGAAAAGTTGACTAGAATAATTTAAAACTTTTGGAGAATAATTCTAATTACGTTTTTCACTACTTGAAAAAAGGATCCACCAAAACCTCACAGCTCACATAATTAACACCGCTTAATATTTTGTTAAAAAATAATTATTTGAAAGCTAATATTTTGTGCAAAAGCCATTATTTTGAATAACTGCTTCACATCTGCGCATCATTTATTTAAGTATTCCATTCCATCTTTACCTTTTTGAATAGTTCGGTGAAATTTCCGTTTTAAATTCCTCCCAGAGATTCTCAATGGGGTTCAAGTCTGGACTGCACGAGGGCCAGTCTAATAAAAACTTTCGTCCATCTATTGTTTACTTGACCGCGCGGGATGTTTGGGGTCGTTATGTTACTGAAATTGTCAAGTAACAGGCATATTGTCGTAGGACTATGGCAGCAGTACATTTCTCAGTATAGAAATATTCTGGTGCTGATCAATGTGACCCTCAATTTTTGTTATCAGCCCAACACCCCCTCATGACATAGCACCCCATATCATTATATTAGCGCCGCCGCGATTCAGCGTGGGACGAGTCTATTTGGAGTCAAAATTTTTACACCGCGGACGCCGAACGTAAGTTTTTCCATCTGGTGACAGTGTATTTGTTTCATCCAAAAATAGGACTCTTTTCCACTCCTTTTAAATGTTCAATGACGATATTTCTTGGCGAATTCAAGTCGTTTTTTATGATTTTGCTTTGACAGCAGTGACTTCTTTCGAGAAATCCTTCCAAAGAATATTTTTTCTCTTAAACGTCTTTTGACAATTTCAACCGATGATGCATTATCATTCCCCAAAAATTTGTATTTTTATTTGTTGTTTTTGGATGCATTTTTTTGATTCGCTCGTCATCTCTAGCGGTGGTTATACGAGGCCTTTTCTTGCGTGGCACTTTTGTTGTGGGTTTGTAGATTTTAAAATACTGAACAGCGTTGAAAACCATTATTTTAGAGATCTTTAGCGATCTTAAAATAGGACTTTCCAATGTTGCGCATGTTAATAATAATGGCCCTCGTACTTTCGCCACAGGACTTGTTTCTGCCCATTTCACACCAAGCTAAATACGCGCTATACTTTCCAAATTTATTGTAATATGATTAATTAAAGATAAATGTTAATAAAACAGTATTAAAACGCTGCGTTGCTAATTACGTAAACAACTGTAATCTAAGCTTACTCAAGAAAAATACCTGATGTTTATAAACTAACGGGACCTTTTGAGTTAATTTTGACAAAAATTGCCATTTTAAAATTGAAATTCAACAAAAAGTTTTACCAGATTAAAGAAATATTGGTTTTAGGACAAAAATATTTCTTAAGTGCATATCGTTGTTAATTAGTTGCCCGTAGCTGTATCTCTATGTTTTTAGATCAGAATATTACCATTTCCCAATATAATGAATTTCGTTGTTTTTATTTTATACCACATTTATCATTTTTTACAAAGTTTTACAAAGGCCTGAATATATAATATATTTCACTACTTTAATTCTTACAAGCCTTGTCTGCCTTAAAATTTACATTTGATATAACAATGATTTCACTTTTTTCAATGATTCCACTTTCGATATTTCACGTTTATAATTACTATTATTAAAACAATTTTTCGATTAGTTATTAAAGAATTATTTTTGATTTACCTTAAAAGCACAATAACAGAAAGATTTTTTCGATTATTTTTTAACTTACAAAGTGATTTTTCATTTCTCTCCTCTTCTACATTAATTTCGAACTCGGACTTTGATGAATGATGATCTTGCAAATTGAATTCGGACTGATTAAACATAATATTTGGTAGATTTGATATTGCCGAATATTCTAGTACATTATCATCATTCCATCCCGTCGTTAGTCTGTGATTGGCGAATTCAAAATTATTTCGTCGGTTAGCCCACTCAGGTACAAGGCTATTAGATTCTGTTGTTCTACTAAGAATGGGATCGCTGTAATTAAAGGGCACTTCGAAATCTGTTGATGAAACTTGGGTATGAATAAAAGCTCTCGTCGTTAATGAGCGGTTGCTACTCATTATTAAATCTTATTTCTGCTATGATCAAACTGGGACTAAATACAATTCAATGGAAAGAAAAAGTTCACACTGAAGTTGTTTCCCTAAAAGAGTTGCTAATTTCTTATTGGCTGATATATGATACATTGTATATGTACCTACGTAGATAAGTATAACTCAACAATGATTGGCCACGAAGTTAAATGTTTGTATACATGTGTGTAGGCAATTTAAGAGCGGCAGTCCATATGGTTTTTCACTTATGAGACTTATTATGTGTGGTCGATATATGTCATTTGCATGGTTATGTACATACATATGTATATACTATATACACACATTCAGTCAATTCCGGTCATAATTTAAAACTGTTGTGACAAAACCACTTAGAACTTTGTTATGTTTTACGAATATGAGGAGAAAAGAGGAAGTTGAGGAAAAGAATTCAAGTGCATTGTGGCAGTGGGAGATGCGGCGCAATGCACATCTGTAATAAAAATATGAAAAGTGCATAAAAATAAAAATACAAGTGTACTTATATGCAGGGTTGCGAATTTATAAATTAAAAATTAGATTTTAATTTTTTAATTCCGATGTTGGCGATAAAAACTAAATTTTCATTTTTATTTTTTAATCCGATTTGTGGGATTAAATTTTTATTTAATTTTTAATCCCGTTTTACCGGATTAAAAAATAAATTTGTACCGAATTCAAAAATTAAAATTTTAATCTGAAGCATATAATTAATAATTTCGTTTTCATTCAAATCAAAAAGTAATATTTTCAATTTTAAATTTTAATTCCAAACATCTTGGATTTCTAAAATCTAATTTTTAATCCCAACATCGCGATTTGGATTAAAAAATTCGCAACCCTGCTTATATGTACATATGTATATTCTGTTGGTATAAGCTAAGCATACTTAGATACATATCTATGTACGTACACGCATTTGTATCCGGCTAGAGCAATTCTTTCATCATAACATTTTAATCGTTTTGTTGCTTGCATAGTTTGAGTTCAGTCTGAGATGACGACTTTGATGATTAGATATGTATGGTACAGTTGTATTCATGACAATAGTAGTGCAACAGCTTCTTCTGTTTAAAATGATTTCTAAATTATACTGACTTGCCAAGCGTGATTATTTTAAAATTGACACTTCAAACAATAAAATTGAGAAAAAAAAACCCATACGTTGGCTTCCGCTGTCTTTTTTATGACGCATTTATGTATTTTCTAAAAAAAAACAGGCTGTAAATAGTAGTGGTTGTCGTTAGGGGTCGATAAATCAAATAATGATTAGTTAGTTGCGATAATTAAGTATATTTACGGGACTTAATAATTTTTTGATGAAAGAGTTTTGAAATCCCAGTGCTCTTTCCTTTTTAGTGGGTAGAAGAAAACAATGTTTTATCAAGAAACATGAATTGGTAGTGAAGCTAAGAAAACAAGACAGAACCTACAGGGAATCGAAGCTATAAGAAGCTCCTATGACAGCTCCACAATGACATGAAATGCTATAAAATACAAAGTTAAGACAGATTATACGATATCAAAAAATAAAGAATGATTTAAGTTTGTCGGTTACTACTCTTATGTATATACTTCTTTCGTATGTATATATGTATATGTATGTAACCGAATTATTTTTTTACTACATTTTAAATATAGTACGCATTATTACTATAGTTCATAGAAGTCAAAAGTTCAACGATCAAAACTAAAGCAACTTCTTGATATTTTTTTATAAAAAAACTCATTATTAACTGAATATCAATTAAATATTTGCTAACACATTTAGTAGACATATAATGACACCTCTTCTGAGTAAAGTTTGGCAAAAAGTTTAGATAGTTCAAGCTTCACGTTGTTAGTAGTATTAAAAGTAGTAGTAATCATGATTTAATGACACAATAATAAGTGATTGTAAAAGTGTCTTCATGAAACTTGACACCATAAGAAGTTCCGTATTGTAAAATACAAAATTGTTATTTGGTACAAGGAATCTCATTAGGGAGGCGCAGCTGTGATTTGAAAATCTTTAAAAAGTGGTCGTGGCTCCGCTCCTAATAGGTTTAATGCATATACATATGTACATATCACCTAAACCATTTAAGCTATATCACCCAAATTTGTACAGGACAAAACCCTCCCCTAAAAGTGCGATAACTCATTAACTAAACATGTCAGGGACTTTAAATTTGATACATGCTGTCCCATAGTAGTTTTCTAGGAGGCATTATAAAAATCTTTAAATTACAAATGTATGCAAATCAAGCACCAATGAATTATATCGGTATAAAATTTCGACCAAAAAAATCCCTTCATGGTATGCGATTTTTAGTCTAAAAATTGTAAAAATCGGACCACAACTCTTCAAGTCTCTATACATCGAAGGTGTGGACGCCGATGCCTATGGTTGTGAGGTATACAAATACAATTCAGTTTGAATCGGGTCATTATTTTCCTTAGCCCCATATAACTAATAGAAAGATTTTTAAACTTCCGGCTGACTTTATACCCCATATATCGACCAATATGTGAGTAATATTAATTAAATTGAATGAGTGTGTTTTTCTCCTAACCATGCATCTCTGTTCTTAAAATAAATAAAATCGGGTGAAAGCTAGCCCTACACCCATATAGTTTTTTGAACACCTGAAAGTATTTCCCCGGCTTTGAACCTTGCAAGTTGCAAGAGTACGAAATGTTCGATTACACCCGACCTTTGCCTTTCCTTACTTGTATTTTTCTCATTCGAAACTACAAATCAGCCGCAAATTTAGCAATAAATACTTGGTGGAAATAAAAGATTATTGTATGTAAAATTCGTTGACCAATAACGCCAGAAACGTTTCGAGGGAGATATTAGCCTCACAATTACTCGACCAATTTCAACCAAATTTGGTGCATAACTCTCCTCAACCTTTTAGTATACCCCATAGGATATTACAATTGATAACTTACAATAACATTAAAAAATGATTCGAAAAATAATTAGAAGAGAACATTGGACCTACGATGGGAATACGTATCTCATCTGATAATACCATTTCAATCACAATGATGATCTTCTATCGTAAGCATACGATTTAGCATTTCAACAATACTATATATTTAGTGCAAAGTATGTATACTATACCTATACAGTTGTGCGCAAAATAATAGAAATGCCATTATCAAAAACTTGGTTTCATAACTTTTCTGGAACACTTGTATATGACGAGGTACAATAGTACATTAAAATACGAAACTAATTTTTATTCTGATTTTCGTTATTCTAGTTCAGCTTTGTTTCTTCCCGGAGACACTTGTTATTGATTTCCACTAAAGAAAGAAGCGTTAGACATTATCTTCCTAAAATAATATATAAAATAAATATATTAACAAAATTAAAATAGTAAGAAGAGTTCCATAATCTAGTATAAATTTTAATTAGATATTGTTAATTTAGTTATTGACTTTTTCTCCAATGACTGGCTGTTTCTACAGTGGAAAAGCGCGAAAAAAGAAAACAATTTAAAAAACAAGGACATGCCAGTAACTGTGCAAAGAAGCGGTTTAAGGCAACGTTGTCGAAGTTATGCCCTGGCCTACTCAGTCTTCCTCAATCTCATAGGAAATCTGTGGATCGATAAAAAGTGTTTCTGAATGGAAACCAACAAATTCGATAGATTTGTGACACGTAGTAAAATATTCCTAGAAAGGGGTATCTTTAAAACGTTACCAAGACCAATCAGGACTCTTTGCTATTTTTATGTTGAACGAACTTAATAATATATTTAACATAAACTGCGATATAAAATTTAAATACATATGTTGACTGGAATTATATAAGTATATATACTTTGTTATTGAAAATTCAAAGATTAGTTTTTGCATGTAGACACTCCTATTTATTGTGGACAAATGTATATATACATATTTATTTTATATAAAATGCAGCATATGGCAAATGTTCACATAGTCCAGCCAGTATGAGCGGCGTACGATTTGATATGTACATATGTATGTATGTATGTATGTATGTGTTGCTAATAAAAATGTGTATAAACGCGTCTTTGTTATTTGGCTAAACAAATAAAGAAGGAGAACAGAAATTGTCAATTGTGCATGTTTATATCTTTGTTTTGTAGATATAGATATACACAGAAATAAACCTAATTATCCTAATATTTTTTAAAAAATAATGCAGAGAGTTTTTGTTCATAACTAATGGATGATAGTTTTAAATGGCCATTCACATACCATCAGTGCTGCCACATCTGCCCCGTTGTAAATTCGCACATCGAAATCCGGAAAATTCCGACTTCGCATATTTTCTATATAAAATGTCTTGAGGCTACTATTTATGTAAAATATAGGATGTGAAATTGCATGAAAGCGTAGCAAGATTCGCAATCTATTATATTCGAAAGTATGATGTCTTTTTATTTTCTTGAGTTGCTTCACTGTTCTATGCTTCAAATCAGTGGCCCGAATTCTTATGATGAGAACAGACAACAACGCAAAACCGTAGACTGAATAAGCTGATACGTCGTATGAAGCGCAATGTAAACGAACACTCATTACTGTTTCTATCGGATATCCGTCAAAATTGGATTTTTTCCGTAGAAACGAGTGCTTACTATATATTATTTTAGCATTGGAGTTTTCAAAACATTATTTAGTCAAATACATTTCGCTTCATTACATTATTTAAAAATAATGAGGTGTGCAATTGTTACATTTATTTTTAGAAGCCTTTGTTCATGTGTTTGTGGAATTTTGCAAAGTCCACGTCGAAAACTAAAAAATACTCTTTACAGTTGTACCAAGGATGATCATCCTTGGCTGTATTGTAAGGAATTGCTGAAATTGTCTCTGTTGACAAATTGATGCGCTTTTTAGTTTTATTTAAATTGATTTGGGATACAATTCTAACGCAATTAACGGAAGAATGTGTAAGTACTCCAATTTTGTACACTAATTTCGAAACTAGTGGAACCGTCGTTATATATTATATTATCGTTATACATAAATACTTAGCTTAAGTTATAAGATACTTACTGCCTTTTAAGTATTGATTGATTTTCAAAATTATTCGAGCAAATACTTTTCAGTTTTGCAAATTTCTGTTAATCAAACATCGAATTCAACAATATCTTAATGCAGAAACATTGAGAGAGTGAAAGAGAGTTCGAAAAAGGAGGAAGTGAAGTTTTCTTGATCGACCGAGCAAAAAATGTGTTTCTTTCCTTCTTCGCTTTTTGAAAGGGGAAACTGATAGGCTTATTCTTCCGAACGCATATTATACACATAAAAAAATAGAGCTTTTGACATAAAACGTTCAAAATCTGAAAAAATCCGGGTATAAATCCGCAAGACCATTTGCAGGCTCAAAAAAATCCAAATATAGGCAAATAGATAAGTGTATGGTTTGAATGTTTGTCGGTTTTAGTTTCCTAACGGATCCTCTCGACAGGCTATTAAAGATTGCTAAAGATCTGAACTGTTAGCAATACTGTCAATGGAGACTGCGCATTGCTAATGTTTAGCAATTGATATCTAAATATATTATAAGCCATACCAGAGAATGTTAATATAGTTGGTATTGCCGTATTATGTTTTAAAATTTATATCTTTAATACATCTCTTGACTTAAAGCTGATCACGTTGCTCTAGCTTCTTTTTCAGTTATAAAATCTTCAGATCAATAAACTTAGCCATTTTCAAACATTATATTTATCATCCAGCTACCAGCGTTAAAGATAATATTAACCGGCTGTTGAAAAAATCGCACTTAGAAATTTCAACACGTTTAATGCTGTTTATCGATTTTTACATCGCAACTGCTGTCGATATTTGCGATAATAATAATGCCATCGATAGTTGAATGGCATCTGCTGTCAATGATTATTCTTAAAATAAGAAGAAAAGTACGTCAAATCGTCGTAGTTGTAAAGTTTATGTATAAAAATTAATAATTAAATTTTGCAAACCTCAAAAGGACTACTATATGACAACCATAATACCAGAATGTGCGATGATGAATCGTGTGTCTTTAGACAAGTGGACAACAAGGGAACAGCTATGCTTAGCATCTGCGGTATCATGCAGTGGCGATCAGAATTGGATGTCAGTTAGTCGTAGTCTTAAACATGTTTGTGGAGATGGGACAGTAACGCGTCCTAGTGACTGGTTCTCACAAAAAAACTGTGCTGCACAATATGGTTTTTTGTTAGAAAAAATAGAGACGCCGAAATGTAAAAAAGCATCTTATGAAAGCTCCAGTTGTGCTTCCAGTCCTTCTTCTGAAGGTAATTCAACAGAACTTATTCTTCGTCGGTTAAACGAAAACCGACAACATGAGTTAAAGGCGGAAATTCAGAAGGAACAACAGGAATTTGCCGAAATCTATAGAGAGCTTAAAGCATTGCAGTCAGGATTTTTCAATGAAGAGCAATTACGAGAGATGTGGTGCGATATTGAAAGAGTGAAAGAGCAAGAGCGTGTAGAAGAAATGAAAATTGAAAATCAATTGCGTGAAAGGGAACAACAAAAACCGGAAATCCAAAGCAATTGGAATAAGTTGTCTCCGGTTAAAACACAAACTGTTTTACCAGCACAACGCACGACTGATACAACTTCAGTGGATATGGATGTAGAAGACATAACCGGCGCATCGAACCCAGAACAAATATCTACAATTTTCAATCAAACAAAACAAAAACAACAGCCAACACAGACTGGTATTTCACCATTATTATCATCTTTATTAAAATCACCCACTACTGGAACCAGTTCGCCAACATCTATATCCATAAACACATCAACTAGTGCAGCAAATAACCCCGCCCGTTCATCTGCGCCCACTATAACTACGCTATTGACATGTGGGTCCATACCGAATAAAAACCAGCCTGCTATTACTTTAAAATCGAGTATACCACCACAAAAAGCTGCACAATTGCTATCGAGTCCGATTAGTGGTCCGCCATCAATATCGTCAGTATCCGTAACAAGCATCACGGGACAAAATTTATTGAGACCTTCACAGGCTGCTCCCACACTTTCTATGTTGTTAGAAAGGAATAAAGCACTAGCCATTACGGTAACCAATGCCGAAACTCGAAATGTGGAACTTCCCCATGCAGGACTTAATGGAGCTGATCAGTCTCAAATAAATGAAGTTCAAAATAAAGTATCTGATTCTAACAATGATGAAATCCCAATGGAACTTGATGAAGATCTTACCACTCATTTGAGTGATTCTAATGAAATTAGGAACAATGAAAATGATTCCGATGAACCCGATCCTAACGAGGAACAACAGTTGCTGGAGGTTTTCAAAAACATTGGGAACATTGATGAATTGGATATAGATGTATCTGCAGTTATAGATGGTGAAGAAGTCGATTTTCTCAAAGACATGGGCGCTGATTCGCCTAGAGATATGAAAAACGTTGAAGATTTTGAGAATAAAGAAGATACACCACTGACAAAAGTTACGAATGTGGTAGAAAATGTTTTAGAGAATAAGAAAAAAAGTGATGAAATAAATCCCCTGGATCACAAGATATCCTCCAAAGAAGAGGTAATAAGCCAGGTCGAGGAAATCAATCCAACAGTAAAAACTAATCAACGGAAAGTCGAAACTACATCAAGTGATGACTCAAATGACAACATCCCATTAGCTGCTGTAGCTACCTTAGAACAAAGAGCAGTACATGAGAAAGTTGTTTTCAAAGATAAGATGGGCTTGGAAATAAATAATTTATATAAAGATGATGAAAATGAGTCCAGCAAAAAATCAGACTGTCAAGATTTAAAAATTTTGCAGAAGACTTTTGAAGAAAATAAAAAAGAACATGATAAGTTAGAAAAACAGTTGGCCGATTTGGTGGGAGAAAATGAGAATGAGGATACAAAAAACTTCAATGACGACGAAAAATCAGCCGCAGCAAGTGAATATTCTGATGTGATAATCATTCCAACTGATGATGATGATTCTAACGGCCAAAAAGAAAAACAAAACGTTGAAAAATCCAAAATAGATGAAGAAGCAGAAAAAATTAAAAAAGAATTAGAAAATGATTTAGGGACTCTAGGTAATAGATAAATTATAGAAACATTTTTCAAATTATAGACTTGCCTATAAATAAATATATTATATATATTTCAGAAGGAACGAAAGATTCCACCCAGCATGAGGAGGAATTTTCCGAAGTTGCAGGTAACAATTCCCATATTGGCCAAAAAGTGGCTATGCCTATACCCCCGACAATATCTATAGCTGATACTGATGAGGAATCTTCTACCACAGACATTAGTATTGTTAATCGAAAAGATGATAACTTAGGATATACTTCAATTAAACAGAGCCCTGCCCAAGCTCGTAGAAGTTTAATTGAACAAAATCGACAAGATCAACAAAGTAAAACAGACGATGAATCTACAACACAATTTTCTTCATCTTCATCTTCCTCCGTTACCTTAGCGCGACCTCCGATGTTGCGAAAATTACGTGATCGTGATCGATCCGAAAGTCCTATGATCGATGGTGACGTTCATCCGACGAACAATAACGCTAACGCATCGACTTTAGAAAACTTGAATAACCAAAGACTTCGGAGGCGATATTCTTCTACACCTATTAATGATAGCGTACCAAATTCACCGGCCTCAAGTGATCGCGATCGTGAAGATTCAGAATCACGCGTTTCCAAAAAGTCGTTACTAAGTATTTTTCACGCACTACAATACAGTAAAAATGCAAATGTTCTGCAGCGCTCATTTAACGAAGATGTCCAATTCAATGAAATTTGCTTGCGACCAATAGATATGGTTTCTATTAGAAAATGCATTGAATCCGGTACCATACGTAATGTTACCGAATTACAACGCGATATTATGCTAATGTGTCAAAATGGATTGATATTATTCAAGCAGGATACCAGCGGATTCAACGCAGCTAATGCTTTTATGCTGGAGTGCCAAGCTATACGTGAATTTGTTGCAAATACGGGTATAACAGAGAGCAATGTACCAATAAAAGATAATAAAGATGAAAGTAAATTATTAAATATAAGTGGAACAGGCTCCAAATCTCGGAGTGGATCTAGAAAAAGTCAACGCATCTCCTAATAATATTATTCTAATGGACCAACAAAACAGCACATTTCTATGAACATTATTTAACACAAATTTATATTAAAATAATAGTACCAGTAATTTACACAGTTTGTACTACAAATCTTGTAATTCATTTAGTTTTTATTTCATCGTTTATTCTTGTTGGAAATATGCGTTTTCTGAATGTATTATAAATCTAAAATGAAAGTAATAAATTTTGAAAACGCCTAGCTTTCGAGCTAAAGCATACCGCTTTACGTCTGGGACAGGTAAATCGCCGTAAGCAACGAGACAATTGAATATCACATTGGCATAGTCGCGCTGCACATGAGCCTGGGCCTCCGAATTCTCCATGATCTAGAGCACATAATGGTTTTCGTCGATAACATTTCCAAATATAGGGTACAAAATATTCTAAATACGATATACAATTACTGTATTCGTAACATTTATCGTGGATCCTGCAGCAGCTATCTATGCCATCAACAGGAACACCAGCACCTGAAAATCCACAGTAACAACCATATCCTTTATATATGAGAGGCTGGCAACCGGTAGAACATTGAATGATGGAGTATAATGTAAGCACATCGCGTTTTGCCCGATCGTAGATTCTGTAGAAATTACAAAAATATATATACTTATGTATGTATATCTATATGTAGTTCATAAGTAAATTTTTATATGAAATATAATTAAATGGCCATTAACAAGGCGATTTTAATTAGGTTTGAGTACAATACAAGTCTACTTTGATTGCAACAGATCATGACATACGTTGAGTTTCGTAACGGTGTCTCAATTTTCATTATCAACATTTACAAGTTTATGCACATTTTTTACAAAATTCATTATTTTGACACGGCTGGACCAATAACTAGATCAATTATTAACTGATTGACTTGTAACCTAGACAGTATGGAAATTAGTACTGTTGTTTGCTACACTTCTCTGTTTTTTTGATATTATTCCAAACTTACCTAAAATTCCATTTGACGGAGGTACCGAAAGGATCGTTAACGCGTGCAATATATAGATTCTCATCATCCGGGTCCTTCCCTACATTTTTCAAATCTAAAAGGAAATCGCTGTTTGGATATGCGTCCTGAGTATTCTCAACAACAGCGCCAGACCAACCATCTAATCCTAGTGAACTCCAAGAATTTGCACTGCTTTCGTCACTTACATTAGATGGCTCTAAATTATGCAGGGTCTCACTTGTAAATAAAGTGAAACGGGTTTTATTTAATTGCGCACGCATGTACTCCATCGTTAGATTAGGAAAAACTGGATCAACTAAATCACTACGTCGCATCGTCAAAATTGAGGAACCGTCCTTTACTGTGGCGTCTGGTATTTTGAATTGAAAAGTCACATTTGATGAAGGCACTACGGACTCGTACATCTGGGGTATAATACGATTTATGAGATTCGTGTTGTTTGTGATGATTTTGAAAGCATTACGAATGTCACTCAGAATGATATCGGTAGTGGTGTGAATATTTCGCGCTAATATGCCGTTTTGGGACGGACAACTTTGCAGCAACAACATCACAAACTGCACCATGACACAATTTAAGTTCATTATATAACTTACGTATGTATATATGTATTTATATCGTAATTAATAAATACATATGTACACAAATGGTTTCTGCAACGTAAATGATTTTCGCGGACTGCTGCGTCTAATTTCTTACAAGTTTACCGTTAAAGTGAAGCAAGAAGAGTAGCTTTAAACCATTTAGCTCATTAAAGTAACATAGCCGCCGGCAAAAGAGTGTAGAAGGATTAGACAATAAAAACAAAAAAAAGCTTTAATCCAAAAGGTATAGGTGGAGAAATTACATCAACATTCGTATGATGTACATATATGTTTGGCTCGTAGGTAATAATGGTAATTATAGTGTGAAGTTGTACATATTCGTATAATTTATACATACATATGCATGTTATATTTATGCTCATACATGAACATATATTCATTTACGCTTGCACACTTAAACATAATGGGGTAAATCAGCGTCTTCAACCAGTCTGAACCCAGTCTCGTGAATAACACAAAAGTTGCACACACATATACATATGTATATAAGGTTGCATGTATAATAAGTAAGGAAGATCTAAGTTCGTGTGTAACCGAAAATTTCAAATTCTTGAAACTTGCAAGGATCAAAGCCGGGGAAATACCTTCAGGTATTGGCAAAACTTCGTATTAAAAATTGGTGAGAAAGAATTCAACACTCATTATTCAGCTGAATTACAATAAATAGACTCAATTAGTGTTATTTATAACTACATTTCCCTTCCCGTCAGCGAATATTATATTAAAATCATCCTCAAAAGACATATATCTGATATAAACTTAACCGAAGAGGCTAAATTGAATATATTGAGTTGTGTGCAAAACGTCAACCAAAAGATCGGAACTGATGATGTTAGGGATATACGATTAAGACTTCATTCATCCTCAGCGCTAAGCCATTAATATAATAAGGTTTGTTAGAATAACGGAAATTAACTATAGTATATCCAATTTTATACGTTCAGATAATTTTAATAAGATATGGAAGATTGGTGTAGTATTGACCCGACTTTATTTATTTTTGGCATACGTACATATTATTAATCGAAACAGATATTCTCTGAGTTTCATTAAGGTACCTCACATACAATTGGACAGTTTTTGGTCATAAGATCGGTCAAAAGCACTATTCGTGCAAAGTTTAATTTCGTTATATTAATTGGTGCTTGATTTGTATACTGAAAACTGAAAATCGGATGAAATTTTTAAGTTGTGTTATATGGAAAGTAGTCCGATTCAAAAAATCCCATGTACGAAATTTGGTTGAAATTGGTCGCGTAGGTCTGGATATACGTGATTTCACCTAAATGGAGGCGGTGCCACGCCCATCGTCTAATTTTTACACCTCTTCTGGTTATACTCGCCTTAGTTATACCAATTTATAGGTTTTCGATTAATTGCGTTTTGTGGGCGTGGCAGTGATTCAATTATAGCCTCCTACGAACTCATCCTCTCCACGATATCTTAATTTTTGCGCAAATTTCAGTTTGTACGGACAGACAGACATCCGGATTTGAACTCGTCTCACCATCCTGATCATTTATATATACATAAACCTATATCTATGTTGATTAGGTTTAGGTGATACAAACAACCGTTAGGTGAACAAAACTATTACACTCTGTAGCAACATGTTGCAAGAGTATAAAAGTACGCGCGCACTTAATTAAAGCCGAATTATTTGAAATATGCTCAATGCAGGCAATGAATATAATTTAAAAATATTAAAAGTGATGATTTGATTCAATACGGATGTTGGTAAGTTAAGGTGTGTTACAACTTGAAAGTTAATTCAGTATTTTTTCTTGAATCCAAAGCACATGACTGAGAAGTCATACTAGATAATTAGGTCGAAAGAGATTAGTTCTTTGCTAAATGGGGTTGAAATATTCAAAGTCATTATTGGCTAAATTAGACAAATCAAAATTATAACAAAATATATCATCATCTTATCCAAGATCAAAAAATATTCAACAGCCAAACCGGGACATAGATTAAAAAATTCGAGAAATGGTATTAAGAGACGAGCGAAGCATAAAAATTCATATTTTGTATAAATTTAAAATGATTATAAAATCATTTAATTTACATTTTTATGCTTACTTTACCTAATATTATTGCATATATTGAGTGTATTCACAAATGTATAAAGATGCAATCAAGACGAAGGGCAAAGAACAAGAAGACAGTTCGATGAGTTCGATAGGTTCTAAAGTTTTCTACTTGATCGGCATCAAAAGGCGCAACATAAGCTCGCCAGGAGATTCAGTATTAGCACCGATTATATAATAATATTTACATATGGTAAGGACATAACACATTGAATCTTTTATTGAAGGGTTTGCTGGTAAAGGTTCAAGGTTTTTAATAAATTAATTGTAAAATTAAGTTAATCAATCAAGCTATTGCCAAGCTTAAAATTAACGACGAAGAATAAAAAATCATAGACAAATATTGATCAGAATTTCAAATTTAAGGAATATACATAAGTGTGTACATACATCACTTATACAGTAAATAAATTCGAAAAAGCTTTAAACCTTGAAGAGCACGTTTTATAATTAAGAAGTTCAAATATTGACAAAAATTTTCCTCAAATTAGTGACACATAGATATACTTATTAAGAAACCTTACCGGGAAGCCGTAGATTTGAACTGGCTGAGCGTGATACTCCTTCGTCTAATGAAGTTCATATATTTATAATATGTATTAGGTATATGGCACCAAGGGCAAAGCATTAAAATAAAGTATACTTTGGAAAATATATGCCTCCAATTAGACTTAGATAACACATTGCCCTATATATTTGGACAAAGTCATAAACCAAAATAAACATGTCCAAGAAAATAAATTCTAATTATGTACATACATTCGTAAAACCCATTGTCATGATGTTTTACGTATGACCGATATCGTATGCGTCAACCACAAAAACGAAAAGCATTATTTACGGGCTAAAGGAAGATCTGAAGGGATTTTAAAGATTTCCTTACACACTGCAATTTAAATGCAAACCTCCCTACCTTTTCATTTATGGTCTATGACGATTTTTAGACTAAGTTTTGCCCTTGTAGTACTATTGAGCATAATCTGTGGGCGTAGTTAATATCACATTGCATCAATTTTTACAATGAAAGTTTGGATGATATAGTTTTCGAGTTTGCGAGAGGGCGAAGCCACGCCCAACACTTTTTTATTACAAATGTCCCGCCCTACAGTGATATTCATATGTATGTATATACAATAGTTAATAAAATTCCTACACATACTATTTCTTATCGCATTGTTAATTCATATCGCATAGTGTAACCCTTACCTGTTTCATGAATTATGGGTAAATGAATACCGTTACTTTAATAATCTTGCAACTCTGACAATGTGACATGCGATGAGCGATGAGCGAAATAGGGAAATGATTTTCCTCCAAGTGGAATCTGAGCGTAATTGTTTAGATTTTTTATTCTCATTTTAGAAATATCAGCACGTGCATAATACAGCATCTACCTACAAGTGTACATTGTAACTCCAAGAACATTTACAAGGCTGAATTGCGAAAAATTTGACATACACAATATACAAGCCTGTTATAACTATTATAGTGTATGTACTTGTAAGCGCGGGAAAAGTGCAAAGTTGAGCGAGGTGTTCAAGTGTTTCTGCGGTTACATTGTGGCGATTTTAGCATAATCCGCGTTGTATTAAGAATATTGGTTGACAATAGCGTTAGAATTAAATTTAAGGAAGTAGATACAACATGTTCTACTTGATCGGATTAGGACTTGGTGACCCGACTGACATTACAGTGAAAGGCCTTGAAATTGTAAAGCGCTGTGCACGAGTTTACCTAGAAATGTATACTTCCATACTTGGGTGTCCGCAAGAAGAGCTGGTAAATGAATTTGTTTAATTAATATGTATTCTTTTAAATAACTTGATATATATGAAAATATATAGGAAGCCTTCTATGGACGACCTCTTTTGTTAGCCGATCGGGATCTGGTAGAGCAAGGTGCTGATGAGATATTGTCGGGTGCTGGTGAGGAAGACGTGGCACTATTAGTAGTTGGTGATCCATTTGGTGCAACCACACATACTGATTTTATACTCAGAGCTAAAGAAAAAAAAATACAATACAAGGTCATTCATAACGCATCCATTATGAACGCTATTGGTTGCTGTGGGCTGCAACTTTATAAATTTGGTGAAACCGTGTCGATACCATACTGGGATGAAACATGGAAACCAGATAGCTTTTATGACAAAATTAAATTGAATAGGCTGCATAATATGCACACACTGTGTTTGCTGGACATCAAGGTTAAGGAGCCAACACCAGAATCGTTAATGCGCCGACGAAAGGAATATCAACCGCCACGTTTTATGACTGTGGCTGAAGCTGCACAACAGTTAATGACGATTGTGGAAAAAAAAGATGCGCTGGAACGTAATACGATTTTAAATGAGTTGTCGCTCTGCGTTGGACTCGCTCGAGTTGGTCATGATAGTCAATCTATAATTGTAAATACATTACGTGAAATGAGCCAAACTGATCTCGGTGGCCCTTTGCATTCATTGGTGATACCTGCGAAGGAAATGCACCCACTTGAAGTGGAATTTTTGCAACAATATACTACATTGAAGTTGGAGGACTATAATCACTGAAAAAAGATTTTGGTACATAGAAAATTTTTTGATGTTAAATTTGATTACCTAAAATACAGCATTGTGATTATTTATTTTCAAATTAAAAATCTTTTCTTGTACCACAACTATTTATGTGTAAAAATAATCAAAAGCAGATCCTCTTAAATGTAATTAATTATAAGAAAGTCAAATAATTGAATGCTATTAAATGGCATTTCACTTAGTTGTTTTTTATAATTGTGTCGTGATTTACGATGAACAATGTTGTGAATTTGTTTAAATTAGTTTATTTAAGCCTAAACGTATTGAAAGCAGTGTTTAACTAGAGGAGCGTTTCCTACCTCCTCTGTGTATGTAATTGATCAAATAATAATGATTTTCCTATAAAAGCTTCGAATATTTGTTTTATATATGAAGACCATTTATTTTACAGCATAAAATACTCGATTTAGTTTAAAAATATAAACCACGAGCCCGTCTTCCAGATCCTTGGCGATCATAAAGTACATTGAACTTGTTGACAAAATGGTTCATATCGTTGCAGCCTTTGGTCATTGCACCCAAATAACTAATAAGGGCCACATCGTTGCATTGAGTGTACAGCTCTTCTTGGAAAGCATGACCTTTCATAACAGGTAACCGATGACTTAATGCATATGCATCGCGCAAAATTTCCTGATTTGCTTCCACTTTGCCATTTTCAACATCTTTAATATATTTTAAAACTATTTGTATACGTTTATTTAACATTTTAATAGCGCTGTCCTGAGCCACCAAGTGTTCTGCAACCACAGATTTTTCTCCAGTTTCATTAGTTGACATACGAGCAACATGATCAATTCCAATTCGCTCAGCTTCTTCTGTAGCCAATGTGTACGTTAGTGGAACAAACAACATTGTAGCTTCTCCTCCTACCAATTCGATAGTGGACTCATATAACTTTAACGGGAGTTGATCAACACTACGTGACAATGGGTTCAATTGCAATAAGATGGGACATTCGTTTATCTCTGCCATTTGCTTTTGAATTTGAATGTCAAGGAGTGTTGGAGCTTCATCTGTAGTATACCAGCCAATAAAATCTAAATCACTGAAAACCTATTAATAGGAACTATATATGAAAAATTTGTTTGCCAATTTTTCATTATCAACAAATACCTGCTTGAACTGTTGTTCCTTTGTTTGGTAGTACTCTCGGTTGATAACTACGTCTGCACCCACCCTGTCCACTCTTAATTCAAAGGAATTCATCACTTCTATGTTGCGACCTTTCTGTTTTCCTATCAAAGCACCAAACACTTGACAAGTTTCACCCGCTTGAGCACGAATACGGGTCCAATGCTCGGAAATATTCAATATTACTAATGGATGGAGAGAGGCGGTGACAGATGGTGTTGTTCCCGGACCTGCCATTATGCTGGTATTCGATGCTAGAGCTCTACATTTTGGATGATGGCTGCATGATGGTGCAAGATTTAAATTAGCTTCAGAATCAACATCCATTCGCTCCATTTTATTGCAATGATATTTTATTCGAAGAATTTGTTTCTCGCATAGGGTAGCCAACTTGCTCACTTTGATTAATCTGTTTGAAAATTTCTCCACATTCCCAATAATTATTGCCAACCAACTATAAAGATTTATTGTTAGAGTTAATAACTGGTAAAATCGTTCATAATATCTTGCCGAACAGAATAATAAATGATTGAAATTAGGACATTGTATTTTTTTTTCTCATTGAGGGTAAATTTTAAAGAACTTTAAAAATACAACAGTTCGGCAATATAATTTCAATTAAAATGATTGAAATTATATAATAATAAATATAAAACAAATAAAAAAATATATTTATAATTTTTTTTCCTTAAACGACACGATTATAACAACTAACTTTAAAAGTTTATCTATACATACATATTTATGCACGTACGTACTATTTTTGAGTTCCTTCGAATTCCGTGATTTTTTTAACTTACTATGCCAAATGCAGTCCACATTTTTATAAATAATTTAAATTTTCAAGTTACCAAAATAACGGTTTATTGCCAACAACTGTTATCAGAAAACTATAGAAAACCCTAATCAGCACGTAATCTTCGATTAATTTATGTTCTATCCAATATTTTCCTAATCCAATTATTTACCCAGGCTTGTTAATATTCACATTGAAACGTTTATAACAGTAGGAATATGTTTCGATTAATTTATGTTCTACTTTAATTTTCAAGTTTAGCTTGAGTTCATATACAAATATTGCTAATTAATTAGTATTTAGTTTAGTTATTAATACAGTTCTCATTATGTGTGTATGTTTTTCCAAGATACCTAAATGTACTAACGATTACGTTTAATGCAAAATGTACAGATTACGCTTAATGCAGAGCTAACTTAAAAACATTCGAAATATGTACAAACACACATGTATTGAATTATTATTGAATTCTTTTAGTTAGCTAGTTAGTTTTAAAAAAATTATCTCGGTAATATTTTAATTCTTCAATACTATCTTGTAGGTCTTCTAAACTTCGATGCAGTAAACGTTTTTCGGGTGCTGATTTTTGTACATCGGGTCTCCATCGGCGGCACAATTCCTTTATACTCGAGATATCGATAACACGGTAATGCATGTAATCGTTAACGGATGGCATGTGGTGGCGTAAAAATAGTCTGTCCATATATATAGAATTACCAGCTAAGGGACATTTACCCTTAGGAACATGTTTTTGTAGGTAATCCAAAAGTATGCTCTCGGCACGCTCTGGTGTAATATCTGATTCCAAGCACTTTTCGACTAAACCGGATTCGTTATGCTGTTTCACGCACCATTCGTTCATTTGCTCGAAAACTTCTTTTGGGTGATTTATAGCAAAGCACAATCCCTCTGTTAAAACTTTCAGATCCTTGTCCGTAATCAGACAAGCTACTTCGATTATTTTGTCAGAAATCGAGTTTAACCCAGTCATCTCAAGGTCCATCCATACAATTGCGGAATTGTCAGCTAACAATTTTGGAACGGTCTCCATATTTACCGACAATTTTGAAATTGAGTGATGATTTTCCCATTGAGATTTTGAAACAATGGATGTTAACGAAAGTATACTTCCACGTGTAAAGAATTTTAGCATTTCGTGAATTAAATCAATGATGTGTTACGAAATATGTATAAAAGAGACCTGAGGAAAGTGCCAGTTTGGATAGTTGCCAGTTAAACCAACCCATTTATACATAATCAATAATGCCAGAGACAAAATGTGACATGAGAACAAAGATGACGTCAGGAAAGAAATATTGATAATTTTTAAACAAAAACACAAACACTTTTGTAAACCATTGAAATAAATTTTATTTATAATTACGACGTAATTAATATTGAACGCGAACTTTAAAATGTAATTCCATCACTCTTGATCATAATTATATTTTTTTATGAAACACTAATGTTCGTGCATCTGTAACATGTTTTTACTACATTTTATGGCACTAAATATGTGCTATTTTTCTAAGCTAATATTTTCTGTGTATCGGAGTTTCGATAGCTGTGACTTGCTGGGTATATATATATATGAATTTTAATATGTTTTTAAACTTCGTCTGCACCCTGCGTTATTATGACATTTGGAGTACGATTTTGTGGTAAATAAAAATTTTGATACTGTGAAATTAATTGTATGCAAGTGTTTTCTTTGCTGAAATATAACAATAAAAGGATTTAAAAAAAGATTGTCAGTAAATGCGTCCTTATTATTTTGTGATATCTAATTGTGTAAATAAAAATGTCTTTTAATGAACGCCCCACCACATCGAAGGATACTTCATTTGACTCTTTCTATACGGAGGTAAGTATATGCTTGTAAAAAGCGGCAGTTGAATATCTACGCTACATGCGCTGTTGAGACATAGTAGCAGGAAAAACGTTGACAACAAGCAGGATTGTCGGTTATTCGCTTTTATTGTTTCATATTCTAAACTAAGTAAACATAATTGAAGAATACTAAAGCTAGAGAGGAAAAAAGTCATGAAAGTTGAACGACTTAACGACTTCACAGAATAACATATGTATAACTTTGTGAATAGGGATTGATATGAAATTATTAATATTTTGGACATTTCCGCAGGTTAAAGAAATAGAAAAACGCGATTCTGTTCTAACCTCTTCTCAACAAATTGATCGTTTACTTCGTCCAGGTTCAACATACTTCAATCTCAATCCATTCGAGGTACTACAGATAGAGCCTAGCGCTACTGTTGAAGAAATAAAGAAACGTTACCGCACACTCTCCATACTGGTGCATCCGGATAAGAACCAAGATAATAAAGATCGGGCCCAGACAGCTTTTGACATTATAAATCGGGCTTGGAAAACACTGGAAAATGATGTCACACGAAAAAAATGTCTCGATGTTTACGAGGAAGCGAAAGAAAGAACTGATCATATGGTTACAATAAATATTTTGTGTAAAAAATCTTAATAATCAAAAATATTTTGGAATTGCAGATTGCAGAGAAAAGAAAGAAGCTTCGAAAGGAGAGTAAAGGTTTTGAAAGCATCCCTGAAGATGACCCTGATAAATATAAACATGCCATATATGTGATGGTTATGAAATTGTTCGCTGATATGGAACGACGCCGGCAACAATTAGATCAACGAGATCAAGAAGAGCGAAAACGTAAACGCGAAACCGAAATCGAGGAGGAAGAAAAGAGAAAAGCTGATTTAGAATGGCAGAAGAATTTTGAAGAGTCGCGCCAAAGTCGTGTAAATAGTTGGCATGATTTTCAGTCCGGTGCCAGCAAATCTAAGAAGTCGAAAAAGCAAAAACGTATGCATGGAATGATTGTTCCTCCCAAATTTAAGCCTGAAACACGATAAACAAGTATGCACGTGCATATCTATAGCAACCACCTTTATAACATTATTTTTTATACTTCAAATTAAGTTCATGAATCAAAAAGCACGGATTCCATGTATTAAGGCTGAAAATATGTTCAATATATCATGCCTTTAAATGAGAAATAAGTATTCGGAGTTCGTTAAAATTGTCATTTAGTTGCCGCTCATTATACATACTATGTAACTAAAAATAAAAAAATTGACATTATTACATTTTGTAAAATACAGCCAAATGGATATATTTTAGAGCAACAAATTATTTATAAAATATGAGTTTTTTTTAAATTAGTATATCGTTGTTATAGCCCAAAGGACACACTTTTCGTTGGGAATCACAATGCTGTGTACAAGCTGGCAGTAAACACTATGTCTCTTTTAATGGCAGTTGACGCGTCTTCCATTTTGCTTTGCAGGGCGGGATTACCTATACGTATGGCTGCAGTTTTTACATCACGTAGGGTTTCATCCAATTGCTGTATACATCGCACAATTATGCCTTCTTGAACTTCAGTTAACTTCATTATTTCAGCAAACGGCTAATAGGAGTTATCGTTAAAAATTATTAATTAGAAATTTTTAAATCTGATTATAAATAACAATCAGTTTTTGAAAAATATGTTTACAGCCACTAACTTAAATTAGCAGATCCAGCTTAGTGTTGCCCGAAAGGCAAAAAAAATTATATAAATTTAAAAATGTGAGTTAAACAGTTAAAGGAAATCTGTTAAATAATTTAAGTTATAGACTGCTTGCATTTTAAGCATAGAATATTAGAATTAATCACACACACACACCTTGTTGCGTGCCCATTCGTACACTACTTCGAGCAATCCAAAGTTCAGCCGATTTTCGGATTCTATAATTGTCTTATTTCGTAGTTCTTCGGCTAAAATAGTGTCGTTGATTTCTTCGAATTCTTTAACGCACTACATAAAAATATTTTAATTGTATGAATATATCAATTTAATAGTAACTACTCTGACTTGTTTTAACTTTTCTGGAATCCCCGGCTCTCCTTGAATTTTTCCTTGAAATACTAAACTCGAGAGTAATGCGGCGATTTCAGCAGGTTCAAGATCATTGAACATGTTACATAGTATTAGTTCCGTTATTAACAGCTCATTCTGTCCCATTTCACAAGCAACTTTTCCTTTCAGCGTGACTACAATAATAAATACATACATATAAAGAGAACTATATCAGTTTATGTATATTTTTCTATGTACGCATATTTAATAGTATAAGACTACTCACCCTCGTCCAAATCATCGATGTATTTTAGTGCGCGTAATACTTCCAATTTGTTGCAATAATCTGGATAAAGGGAGAGGTTTTTAGTAGAATTCTTAAATTTCAATTCCTCAATACGCCGTTCCAACACTTTACGCTCGTATACCGTAGCGAATTCTTGTTCAAATCCAGCAATATTTGTATGGGGTAGCAATGTGAGTAGCTGTTTCCACAAATGTTCTGTATAGCGAATTTGAACCAACTCATTCTCTTCACTTATATTAACATCTTTGGAGAGGTTAATACACTTAACCGCCTCTGTATTGTCTATGTAGTTTTGATTAAGTATTTGTAATTCACTCACTGCCTTAACGACAGTTGCGCCTGGTGGAGAGTCCTTAAAACGTTCGATTTGCCGTTGTTCCCAATTGCGAATTATAATGTCTCCATCAACTTTAATATTGCTTTTTGTAATTTCAACTATATCGGCGGCTTTTGCGTCAATTACACAATGACCACCAATACCTTCGGGATGAAATAACTTGTTCTGTGGGGTCAGCGATACTATTTTGCAGTACAATTCTCCACGATGAAGATTATTATCCTTTAAATATAGTTTCGTAACAGTGTGATAATCAGTAGGAAAATGTGCATTACTTGTATACCTTCGGATCACTTGCGGAGAATTGATGGTCAAGCACTAATAATCTGTAGACAGTATCTTTTCCTGGGGTAGTCTTTATGGCAAGTAATATACCCAATTTGTTGTAGTGTTTGCCTTGGGTAACCAATAGTATACGGCCCACCTTCAGCTCTTTAGCTATTTTAGGTTGAGACAGTAAATATTTCTGTGGAAAAAAGGTAATATTAAGAACGTAAATGCAAAATATCTCAGAGAATCATACCATGATACGTTGTTTTTCAATAGTATATTCTTGGGCGAGATCATAAAAGCGACACAGAGGCTGCAGTTGTTCTCCCAGCTCGGGTAGTTGAGAGAATTTATCAAGCGCAACTTCCAGTTGTTTTTTTTGCATTGGTAATTGCAGTTTTTGATTAAATTCTTTGAAACTGAACTGTATTATATCCTCAACTTTAATGCTCTCAATGCGTAGACAAGTTAGAATAACGGCATAACGTAATATGAATTGTGACTGCAATTTTTCTGGTTGACCAAGTATCATGGAGCGTAGATCCATCGAGGGTGGAACTTGAGATTTACACAATAATATAACAGTACCATTTTCATCATGACCACGTCGTCCGGCACGTCCAGCCATTTGAATATATTCACCAGGTTTTAGATTACGCACTTCAAGTCCGTCATATTTACGATGCGAGTCAAAGATCACAGTACGCGCTGGCATGTTAACACCCATAGCAAATGTTTCCGTAGCGAATAGTAGTTTAACTAAACCCGATTGGAATAGCATTTCCACTATTTCCTTCAGTATGGGTAATATACCACTATGGTGCACGCCGATTCCACGTTCCAGTGAATCCTTCATGGATAGAACTTGTGGTAGTTGGCGATCTGGTGGTTTTAGTTTCTGTAAGCATTGTTGGAAAAATTTCTGTACAGAACCTTTTTCACGTGCAGTATTTAAGTCAACTGATTGTAATGCCTAGAAGTAAAAAGTATGTGTAAGTTTAAAAAATACATATAATTATGTTAAGTAAATTATGGTACCTGCAAATTAATATCGCAGCGATTACGCGATAATGTGAATGCTACTACAGGCATTTTGTTATTACGCTTCAAAAAGTCTATTAGTCCAATCCACATGTTCTGGTCTCGTTTAGCGCTAACAAAATTTTTTGACGGCCGCACACTTTGTCCCCCTTTTGTTTTGGCCTGCATATCTTTTTGGCGTTCTACCGCCTTTACATAATTTTCTTGTAAAAATTTACCATTCCCGTCAACTAGTAGAAATATATCATCTTTGCTTTTACCGCCACATCCAGTATAAATGTAGTGCATAAGAGGAACAGGTCGTTTAAGTGTACTTATTACATATACTTTCCTTTTCTTGGTACTGCCAACCCATTCCGCTAATTCCATTGTATTAGGCACCGTAGCGCTTAGCATTATTATATTAACATGATCTGGAAGTAATATTATTACCTCTTCCCATACGTGTCCACGCTCTGGGTTGTTTATATAATGCACTTCATCGAAAATCACATATTCTAGATCTCTGGTTATTTCACTTCCACAATAAAGCATGGACCGAAGAATCTCTGTTGTCATAATAAGACACGAAGCAGTGGGATCAATCTGCAGGTCGCCCGTTATTAACCCAACGTCCTTAAATGTTTTTTTAAAATCTCTATATTTTTGATTGGACAATGCTTTTATTGGGGATGTGTAAATTGTACGCGTTAAATCGCGCTGCGATAATGCTATTGCATATTCCGCTACAACTGTTTTCCCAGCGGATGTGTGTGCTGCTACAAACACATACTGTCGCTCTTCTAATTTAAGGATGGCTTGCTTTTGGAACACATCTAACTCAAAGGGGTAACTCATTGCGGGACATGGAATTTTTTCTTTGAAGTTCGTAATAGGATGTGATATGTCGATCATTTCCGCCCATTCGCTGCTAAAAGTGGATTTCATGTTTGTATTTGAAATTTCCAAAACCGGTTTAAGGTCTGGTCCCATAATATGCTCGTCTACATCTTTAAATTCTGTTGAATAGTTGAATGTATCAGCGCAATCTACTTCCGTTGGTTCTTCAGTCAATTTCAACCATTCCTGTACATCCATATCCTCTTCCAAATTTTCTAACAGATTGATATTTTCATTATTTCTTAAATTTGCAACTTCGGAATACGACTGTATTCTATTTTCTTCGAATATATAGCCATTGCGAAAACCAGGTGGCACTGTCAGCAGTTCTATCCCAAAGTCGAATTCAACGACTAGCTTTTTTATTTCTCCAGGTGGTTCATCAAATCCACCGGGCCAGAATGGAAAATTCATCGATGAACCTCGAATTGACTCTTCCAACAGTCCCGGTTCTCGACGCATTGAGGTGGAATTGCATGCGTTGGCACCGACATCTTCCAAATCTATCTCAACAAATTCAATTATCGTGCCAGTGATATAGTCACGACGTGGCACTGATTTTGTGCTAGCAGAACCTCTCGACAAATGTAGCAAGCGTGTTGCATTGTAATGTCGCGGAATTGTGTCCGGTAAAGGATTATTTATTGGTAATTCCGGACAAATAATATAGTTTTGTAATTTTTTAATATTCTCATCCATTTTTGTTCTTAAACTGGTATGACATACACACTTATATGTATTTACGAATGTCAGGTGGAAACACATTAAGCAATTACACTATGCGACAGTATTGTGAAAATTTACATACTTCGAAAATCTTTTTGGCATAGTAACGCCGCATCTCCAAACAGAGAACGTATATCATATATACGATGATATACGTTCTCTGTTGACATCTGTTGTTGTTGTTGTAGCGGCAGAATTTTTAATTGAAATCTGTCAAATACATTGCCATTGAGGTTAGCAATGATTTTGTGTGGGGATTTGCAGAGAACATAAAATAATAATATGAATGAAAATTAATATAGTATAACCAGAGAATGTAAATGGACGAGAAGGCAGAGAAAGTATATGTTCTTCTAAGTTCTCTGGATTCTCTATAAATCTACGATCTCTGGCGTGCATACCGATCGTAAAAATTGAAAATTTTCGGCAACATGGATTTGATTGTGACGAAGAAGATGCGAGAATAAAATAGAATCGACGATAAAATGCCCGAAACAACCAGACAGCGAAATTCATAGTTACCAGAATGTTGGAGTGGCGAAGTTTTATACGGGGCATCTCGACAGGCAATTTAAGAGAAAGAGGTGATGTAGATTGCCTCCTCTATCACCAGCTGGCTGTTTCGGAGTACATGATGACCCATGTAGGAAGGGTATGAGCGGTGCCAGCTTGAAATGGTACCTAAGGCACCAACAGGATGGAAGATTTCTTGAGGAAGACGAAAAGCTCGCTCGTAACAGGGTGAGAGACAATGCCTCGTTTGTCTCAGGGGGACGGAAAAATGGTAACACTGCGTCCGCTAGCAAGCGGAGCAGCGGGATTCGGAGTCGTCGCCCGGTCAACGCAACCCCGACCGTAAGGCGAGGTAGCGAAAAGGCATCGCCACCAACCACCCAAACCAAAAAACCTAAGAGCGGTAAGATAACGCCACAGGGACCACCAAATTCCAAAAGGAAGAGGAAAAACCATGAACAGGGGACCGAAGGCCAACAATCCGCCTCAAATCCTCCAAGTAGTGGAGACACAGTGCAGATATGCGGATGCTTTAAAAGGCATACGGATGGCTGTGCTCTTCAAGATCTCGTCATAGAAGAGATATACAGGGGGTGTGGGTACCCAGTATCCTTTCATGGTGTGTATTTCAAACGTGGAATGCTACATGTGGATTGCAAGGACGAGAGTACTGCTAACTGCCTAAGGGAGATTGGTTCCAAGCTGGAAGGATGGCAACGCGGAGGACGGCAATGGTGAGGACCAGTTCCTCATTGAACCGATCCAGCGTGGAAATTGCCCAGGTGAACCAGAATCACTCGGCGGCAGCCTCAGCTATCATTACTAGTAAAAGTAGAGGTCTTGACCTCCCAAACGTATTCCTAGGAATATAGATTGGGTTCCCTTTCGAGATATGCTGGGTTAAATGTAAGTAGGGTGGGGCAGCTAGACAGAGGTACAACGGCTTCCGAACTGGGGAGCAGATAGTCTGCGCTTAACCAGTCCATCACAGATGCATATGCATATCTCTTAAAGATGATCATCAAAAAGCGAAGCTGTCCTTGGTGATCAAGCATACTCTCGGAACTTAGGAAATCAGTACGCAGGCTTTTCAACAAAGCCAAGCGTACGGGGAACTGGGAAGAGTATAAATGGCAACTTAAATATTCACAATAAAGATATTAGGTCTGCAAAACACCATAGTTTTAGGCAATTCTGAAAAAGGTCTCCTCAACATCTTATACAGCAAGGCGGCACATTGCTCTGGCCAGAGATAAGACTGACCCAGTATTAGCCAGTGCAGAAGAAACAGGTACGACTCTTTTGCTTGCGTATTTCCCGGAGACAATCCGGGAAGACCAATGTCAACTTGTAGTCGAACAAAAGCCAGCTTTCTCGGATTAGATAGTCGCAATACAGCTTTTTACAGCAAACTCAATCAAGTGAGCTATGGCTTCTTTCTCGAAGTGTAAGTTTCCGGAGGCTGAAGGCATCTTTCCAGCACTTCTGCAACAGAGAGAGTAAGTCTTACCGCCCCGCCTTGTTCGACCATGGCGGACTGCAAAAGTGATCTTTATACCCAAAGTAGGAAGAAAGGACTATTAACTGGCGCAATCCTTTAGGCCAATTAGTCTCACTTCCTTCCTCAGGAACCTATCCGTTGGGGGCAAAGAGTTAGAGATGACTTATGTGGTCAAATATCTGAGCCTCACTTTGGATTCCAATCTTCGTTGAAAGCATAATGTGGATTTGACAATCGATTTTCCGGGAGATCCTGGATCATGAGACCGATTATTTCGTATGGGGCGGTGACTTGGGCTTCGAAAGCATCGCAGACTTCGGTAGGACTTAAACTATCAAAACTGCAACGACTTGCCCGCATCTGCGCATCGGGTAAAATGAGAACGTATGCGATTTTCGCGCTGGAGGTCACACCGGTTCACCTAGTAATCAATCTAGAAGCCAAACACAGAATGCTTCAAATTACAGCAAAAGGTTTTAACAGAGGAAAGGTAATCTCGTCCCAACAAATAGAGGCCAGCATTACCAAAATGTTAAACTCCACAAGGAAGTTTAAAGACATCCTTGGTAGCAAAGCCGAATGGAATGATTTCACGTAACCAAGTACACCTGGGTGCTAGGTTACAAGGGTATAGCCGGGAACGAACTGGCTGACGAGCTTGCCCACTCTGCAGCTTCCACTAAAATGGTAGGAGCGCAAGAAAGGGATAAACGATCACAAGTACATGAGAGTTTCGAGTACTTTTGTCAGCTCGGCTAAACTCATATAAATTTTAAAATAAACCTCTAGTAGCCTAATCGAAAGATGACTATACTGATAGTATATTTTCTTCATTTTTCTATATTACCAAATTTTTAATAAAAACATGGAGAGTCTTAAATAATTTTATTCAACTGAACATATATAAAAAATGTCGCCCCTATTAGTGTCAGTCGCATATTTCATGCAAATTTGTAGGTACGAGAAGCCTTATACATGGCGATTTTAACAAATTTTCCGCACTATTACAGACTTCTACATAAATAAATGCTACTAATGTAATTTTACATATGGATTGAATACCTAATAACATTTTATTACACTAACTCTTATTTACGGTGGTTGTACCAGGGATTGGACCTGTCCTCTGGTAGTGTGCACCGCAAGCATAACTTCACGCTGCATGCGACAGAGAAAAAAAAACAATGAACATCTTGAAATAGAATTTGCACACTTTGGAATACGCATGTGGCATGTGCACTTAGTTTTATTAAGACACCTCATTTATTTTACGGAACGTTACCTTATGTATTAGTACGAATATGAAAGCAAAAATAAAAGTCGATGATTATAAATAAAAATACGACAGCAATAACAAATTCTATTTCTCAGTAGACGCCATTTATATGTGGAACAGGGACGTTATTGTCCTGTGGTTCGATTCGTCGCCTTGCGTTGGACGAGGATGCGTTGGATGCGATAGCAGTGACAGTTACCTTTTCCGCCTCTATGCGACCAGAGAGAAAAGTGGCTAAGCGTTCCTGAATAGATAATCGAATTTGTGAATATTTCCCTTTAAAATTTCTTTTGTCTATATGTTACCAAATAGCTATTAGTGATGATTTGAAGACCACCATAGAAGGTCAAGGCGCGCTTAATTATTGATTCAGCTTCATGCTTGGACATATTTTTAACCTTATCCAACTTCGTAATGCTAATAATGCGGTTGTTAAAAATTATAATGTGATGAACGACCTCAGTGGTGGTGTGAGACAACTTTCTGAAATATAGTAGCGAAAAGGGGAAAATTATATATGGGTAAAAATTATAAATATTTTCCAAATTTTTTTTTGAAAATATATCAAGTTGTATTAGTACTTTGGGAAGTTCGAAGCGATGTGTGCACTAAAATTCACCAGATGCACTAAACGTCGAGCTGACTCCCGTGTCAATAAGACAATTAACTGTTCGAGACTCACTGGTCTGGCTTGGTTTTCTGGCTCGTCTTCACTCAGATAGTCCCAAAGTTCTTTGGCTTTTTGTAGAGCCAACTTTGGATCCGTAGCTATCTGAAAAGATGACAAAAAAGTACAGCTTTTACAAAATAATAAAGCAAACGAAATTAAAAAAGCACATCGATAGTTTTCGAAAAGCGACCCTTCATTGGCGATGTGACATAAAGTTAAGTTTAGTAGCTTTATTTTATAAAGAATATGCATAATAGATGATTGAACCTTTGACATTGATTGAACTTTTTGATTGATTTAATTTGACATTGCAAAAGCAAATTTGCAAAAATAGGTCAAATATTCTTGTTTTGTTCGCACTTGTTATTTTAACAATGTTGGCTACACATATCGTGGAAAAAGTACTTCTTATGTAAGTAAGTTCTTATGCTTATATCTTTGAATTTTGTTATATTCGACAAATTAGTTTGTCAAAACATGTAAAACGAACAAAAATAATATTTATCTATTAGATATTGGAGGAATTCTGCCTTAAATTATTTCCATTGTCAAATAACTATGAGACCTACTTAACCTATTCTTCTTCATGGCCTGATAGGGTTAGTCCCTGGCCTTAGGTCGCGAATGAGTGAGGTTTCTTGCAAAAGATATTATATTTGAACGCTTACCAACTCGGCTGCATAGATAAGTATATTAATGGCTTCCCTGCTTTGTTTCTTTAATGCTCTTGCTTCGGCGAGGGTGCGCTGGGTTAGGCGACGTTTAAGCTTGCGTGAGAATCGTTGACCGTGATGTATTGCCTTAATGGCGCCTTTCTCGTTTTCAACCACAGTACTCTTATCTTCATCGGCTGGTGCTGAAATGCATATGTATGTATACTTATAATGATATTAAAATATTAATGTATATGTACAAATAAGTTTTAAGGTTAAGCGTACTATACAATAGTTAAACATTCATAAGTTGCACAAAAGATCATCTTGAACCTTACCGAGTCTCCTTGAAACATTTTGGAGAGATTCGCTTATCAGCTTAGAGTTTTGTTTCTTTTGTGATTTTTCGCCCGAAATAAATTACATTTTTGAACTTAACATTACTTTTATAAAGTTAATCAAATAGCAAAACATGATAACCTCGACATTTAATTAAAATATGCGCATACATATATATGTGTTACAAAAGGCTGCGGTTGCGGTATATGCAAATTAGTATAGGTCTACACATTTGTTTTATTTTTGAAAGAATTTGATTTCAAGATAAAAACAATAATTTTTAACGTAAAAATTTTCTCACCATCCGTTTGATCGCCTGGTAGAGGCACTAAGTATTTATCTACGAATTTGTCCCCAACTGTGAAGGCTTCGTCCAGCCGTTCCGCTGCATATGCCGTTAGTGAACTTTCCAATACAGTGCTGCCGATCTGTTTGACTGAATCGGCGCGCTTCAACACCGGCCGCACAAGATGGTCCGACATGTACTCCTTTGTATTCCAATACATCTTCAAAAACACTTTCCGTGAAATATTTAAACATTGAATTGAAGTAAATCATTACCATTTCTGGTGGCAAATAAACGAGTGGTATACGCTGTTCTAATAAGTCCAAACTTTTACACATAACGCCATCCAGATGCTTTAGAGGCGCTTCGAAAAGTTTGACTGCCGGTTGCACAGACTCATAGGCGGCGAAAATTGTAGATTCGGCGGTTTCAAAATACCAATTAAATAGCCGGTTATTGTGTTTAACTCTGCCATAAAGATCCTCGATACGCTTAAAACTTGTCTCGACCAATGGAATGCTGACAATTCTATCGACAGATTCTAAATGCATTTTGCTGATCGGCGCATTAGCTTTGAAAGAAAATTATTGAAAGGAAGAATATATTTATATTCCATTTGTTTACAACTAACCCATTATGAAAACTATTAAATATTTGTTTGTTTTTTATCTCCACGATTAATTCAACACATAAATTCTTTGCAGAAATCTTTGTATGTCACTTTCCGTTTTCAATCGTATATATAATATCTATTGACATCCGTCCGAAAATGAATCTGTATATTTCTACATGAAGACTAAGAGTCGACTGCTTGGCGTTGTGCTTGGCGCTTTGCTTGCAAGTTGCTGATATTTTATACGAAATAACATTTTAGATCGTTGCTCATTTTTCGAGAAGTGAAACTAAACAGTAATCTTTAAAGAATTGACCTTTAATGCTTGACAACGACGGCGTCTACATCGTAATGCTGATAACAAAGCAGCGTAATACGATCATGCACTCATATTTTCGTTCCTGCATACCAAACTTGCACACATGTGTGTGTAGGTATTCAATCGCGAATGATGTCCTATCGCGGTAACTGATCGCGCAAAGAACTATCTTCCCACTTTAAACTCTCCCGGCGTGTGTTTAATAATCTAAAGAAGTCGGGCACGAATGGAATGTGTGTGCGTACACCTTGTACATTTCAATGTACTCGAATATATATGTATGTATCATATACATATGTTTGTCTATCGCACGCGAGCATACGCCGTAAACTCAAAGTTCATTTAACATTAACTGAGAACCGAGTCTTTCGTAATTCACCCAAAGTACACTACAACGTTTTAAAACGGCTACCAACTAATTGAGTAATCGAATATAAAAGTAGACAAAACTATACCGATTGTGGAATCGATCGAAGCTTGCTATATTATCTGCTTGTTCCATTTCAACCGTCTTACATATTTCAAGCAAGCGTGCTTATTTTTATATTGAATTTGCGATAAATGCATTTAATCAGCCAGACAGTTTAATTGTAAACCCCATTAAAAGTCGGAGTATTCACCCACAATACCATAAATGAACCGTTATTGTAATGAATCTTCTATATATTATATAAAGGGTTTTCCACTTGGGGCGGGTGGTGATATACTGCATATACTGATATCCTTAAAATACCAATATAAGTAGAGTTTTATTTTAAACGACGTTTTGTCTCACCGTTGTCATCAATCGTGAGCGACGCGGAATGTTACACATCAGTAAATAGTTTTGTCCACTTAATAGTTGATTACAACACCTTTGGTTATATACCATACATATGTAAATATCAAAGTGATCCAAATTACCGTCTGTTCGTGTAAGCGATGACTGATATATATGAAAATAGACCACTATCACATGATAGAGTCTCTTGACGGGAACCATGTCTCTTTTTACATAACAAAAAAAGTATTTACTTATATACCTTACGTATGTAACGCAGCGGGTACCAAACAAAATACCCCAAACACATCCGACAAATTATCCACCTTCAAAGCAGCCATGACTACCAACCAAAGTAGATTGGCTGCTAAAAGAGGAAAGGAAATGAAGAATCGTAAGAAATCCTTGAATCAAGTGAGGAAAAGCCGGCAGGTCCCCACCCGGAGTTTGACTCCTCGGAAATCCTTAATGGCAACTGAA